CTTAAAGCAGATTTGTCTGTCTTCTTCTTACCCACACTTCACAGCATATATAATCCTAGAAATATAGGACTGGAAGGGACCTCAATAGGAACTTCCCCTGTCAGCACTGTGCTGAGGCAGGACCAGATATATATTGACATCTCCTGGCACATGTTTGTCTAACCTCTTCTTAAAAACCTCCAGTGACAGGGATTTCACAACTTCCTTAGATAACTGGTTCAAGTGCTCAACTATCCTTCATAGTTAGAATTTTCCTACAATTCAACCTAAATATCTCTTGCGGCAAACTAACCAGATTATTTCCTGTCCTACCTGCGTTGGACCTGGAGAACAATTGCTTATTGTATACCAATGTTTTACATATTTGAAGACAGTTATGTTGCCTTCAGCCTTCTTTATGCTAAACATGCCTGGTTCTTTCAAATATTCCTCATGGGTCATTTAAGTGGGAATTGCCCATATGTAGCATTTGGTTGTTTTTGAGGATGTTTCACGTGGCATCTGCCAGCTGTTCTGACTGCCTGACATAAGTGCTATTTATTTTGGGCTTCTGGACCATCCAGCATTCTTTTTGGACTCAGAAAATGTAAAATTTTGTTTTGCGAGTAGGTAGAGTTGGTTAAGGCAAAATAAAAAGGTAAAATAGGAAATTGCCCAGCAGAGCTTGATCCTGCTCACACTGGTCTTTGGTCTGTAGCTATTGCTGTGGAGGGCTGTTTGCATCCAACCCACTGAATAAAATCTTTTAAATTTTCCACCACTATTTCTCTTGCTTCTAGATTGGGATTTAGGAGACTTTTTATCACTGACTTTTCAACTTGGGTTCAAATGTACCTGACAGTTTGCAAAATAACACCCCCCCCTCCCCCATCCCTTTTCCAAATAATGGAATGGGAAAATATAGCTGGAAAAGATGCCTTCAAATAACAGCATTTTGTTAATTAGAAACATAGTTTATAATTTTGCCACAGAAAGGATAGAGGAACTGTAGTGGATCCACTTGTGCTCTATTTCTTCCAAGTGCAGAAAAAAATTAAGATGCTCTTTACCAGTGTACTGCTGGAAAGAGATTTTATAATATTTTATCAAAAGAGTAAAAAAGAGACTAGAGATCAGAATACCTGAAATCTGTTTCCAGCTCTTTCACATAATATCGCTCTGCCTTAATTTAATTTTCTTTATATGGGGGATATTTTCCTGTATGCATAATGCAATTTGAGACCCTCTAATGAAAGGGTTAAACAGTAGTAGTAGTTTGTTGTTAATGTTTTCACTCCTTGACACCTTTCCTACCATTGATGCCAATGCAAAACAGTGAGGAAAAAGAACAAGCTTTGTGTTCCAAGCCAAATGATCATGCTAGTCTTAAATGTATAAAATACTCAAAAGAGTTAGAGAGAGACGTCTTGGTTTGTGTGTGTGTTTTGGAGGCAAGGGGGTAAGAAAGGAGTAGTGGCTGTGGATAAAACATTTGTGAGAAAATGGTTAATGAAAATGTCTTTTTTTTTTTTTAATTTCCTTTAACCTGACTGTATATGATTTCGGTTCTAATGTCAGTTTGTTTCAATATTGTCTAGTTTGAAGATCTGAACACAGTTGCTGAATGTCTGTTTTCTTTGGTAAATGGTGATGACATGTTTGCGACATTTGCTCAAATCCAACAGAAGAGCATCTTGGTGTGGCTGTTCAGTCGACTGTATCTATATTCCTTCATTAGCCTATTTATATACATGATCCTCAGCCTTTTTATTGCACTCATTACAGACTCTTATGACACCATAAAGGTAAATGCATTTTGTCTGTAGTATTTTTCTTCTAATCAGTTATTTAGCATTCTTTTATGTTAGTTAAACCCCAAAGCTGGACAAATGGAAGCTCTTTTGAGATTTTGACTGCTTATGATGTATGATAAAGTTATTCAAACCTTTTAGCTTAAGGTCTGGGGAAAATGGAAGAGAGAAACACCCTGAAGTGATTTCCAATCCTGCATTGGTTTTGAAAGGTGTCACACCTCTTCCCTCCATATTTTTTCCATGCTATTCTTCTGACTGTTGTACACCTGCATTAGAAGAGTGACTTGAGTGGGAAGGAAGGTAATAAGCTTAAAATAGTTGAATGCCAGTCTCTTACTGCTAGAGAATTCTTTCTTAGCATGCAAGAGTGTTCTTGTAGCATCAAAAAGTCTTGCTGAGGCCAGGAGAGTGATTTTTGAAAGATGACTGTTAACGCTGGTTGGGGGAGAAAGAGACAAGGGGGTAACTCATTCAGTTGAAATTGCTTAGCAGTACAGATTCAAGTATCTCTGCTCCCTATGCTTCGCAGAAATTACTAGCTCAGTTATTAGTACAGGAACCTAGTATGAAAGAGATCCATGAAGTCTGTGCTAATGAACTACTAGCTAGAATCATTCTATCCAGTTCTGGTAAAAGATGGGGTGGAATTAAAAATATCTTTCTCCAAATCTCTGCATTCTTGCCCTCTATCAGTATCTTCTTTACGGTGCTAGTTACATGTATTCCTACATACTTAAGTCCATGTGGTTAAAGTGCATAGTAAGAAAGCTATGTCCAGCAACTGGCCATTTGCTATTGTGTTTACATGACACTAAAACAAAAGGACATGTGTAGCATAGTCATAAATTGTTAGTGGCAATATGTGGACCACAAGCATCCCAGCTAATCAAGGATTCTGTTTTTGTGAAGATTTTGTAGAGAATTGCAGTAATTTTGTTGATTATGTAAAGTGAGATGGGGTCACTTGTTTTTTCTTTCTCCCCTGCCCTAATGATCTCCTGTGTATCCAGTGGTTTAAAGGAAAAGCAGCTCCATATTCAAAGATTCCAAGACCAGAAGAGACCATTGTGATAATCTATTCTGATCTCCTCTATAACACAGGCCACAAAACTTTTGCAAAATTCCTAGAGAAGAGAAGGTTGACTGACTGTTTTATATAGAGAACCCTGCAAATCTACAGATGTGGATATCGACAGCTCATTTTCTACAGATCTAGATGCAGACACAAACTTTTATATCTAGAATCCTGCAAATTTGAGGATATCCGCTTTATATCTGCAGAGGGCTTTATTTATTTATATAGCACTTCTGCTAAATGAAAATTTGACAATTTCTAAGTGACTGCTCTGTATCTCTGCTTCAAAACTATTGGTCTTTGGAGCTTGGGATTTTTAATTTAATGGAGAACTTCATCTATAAACTGCTAAACTTGTTTGTGACTGGGGGAGAAAAAACATCAACATACAAACTGTTAAATAAAGCCATGCAGGAAGGAACTTAGTTGGTTTAGCAAGTAAGGTACGAAAAAGAATAACTTGAACAGTGTCTCTTCCTTTTTCAGTATGTACATATTTAGCTCCTCTGTTCCCACAACCACACTCTCCTAGCCATGCTTTGTTTGCTACAGAAGTGTCAGTTTGATTAATCTAGATGTGAGAGCTGATAAGAGTGTGGGATAGCAGTGTGGAATGGAGGCAGATAGAGAGCAAAGACACGAGGAATGGTTTCTCAAGCACTGTAAATGAAGTGTCCTGTTTTTCAGAAATACCAGCAAAATGGCTTCCCAGTAACAGATCTTCATGAATTCCTTAAAGAATGCAGTAGCACAGACTATAGCAAAGAACCACAGGCTTCCATGCCTTTCATCTGCTGTTGTAGAAGGTCAGTATGGCAGTGTGATTCCAAGAGCTATGTAATTCTCATAAGTGCCCATGAGGTTAGCTGTCTGTCTGGAAAGTATGGGTTTCACTATGGTAGGCACACCCAAAAATCTAACTACAGTAATTCCTCATTTAACACTATAGATGCGTTTCTGAAAATGTTTGTGCTAAGTGAAAATATGCTATGCAGGGTCAATTTTCCCATTAAAAATAATGGAAAAGATGGGGGTTGTGTTTCAGGTGGTGGGGGCAAAGACCATTTTTTGTTGGTGCTGGGTTGTCAATGACAGCTTTAGATATCTAGCAACACAAGTCGCCACGGTTTGTTAAAACACAAAGATAAACACGTGAGTGAGTGGAGGTGCGCTGTGACCACGTGTATTCATTCGCTCGTGCGTATTACCACTGTTTTCACCAACTTATACTGCCACGCCAAGTAGTCTGCCGCTTGATTATTTTCGTATTATTTCGGGGACAGTTGTGGTGGTCGAAAAACGTTCCCTAAAAAAAAATCGTGCTATTGCGAAAATGTGTTAAGTGGGCACGTGTTAAATGAGTAATTACTGTATAGCATGTTCAGACTCTTGTTTTTAGCATTAGCAAATAACTAATTTAAGGGGAAAGGACAGGGACAGATCATTAGGAGTTTAATTTTGTAAAGCCCTTTGATATCTAACATATGAAAGAGAAATACTATATAAGAGAGCTCTGAAGCATCATTAATATTTCTGAGAGTGAGTTGAGCTGATCAGGTCAGAGAAGCTCTGAGCACCGGAAATCATGTTAAGGGCAAAATGAGGCTCCAAGATCATCTTGATTTTCAGGTAAGAGACCAGTTGGCAGTAGAAAGGAGCAAGAGAGAACTTGTTCTTTCACTTTAAGTGACCCGTTCCTCATCCTAAACCCGGGTATTTGTCTGGCAAACTATTCCCATCAATCTCCCCTCTAATGTGAGCATTTCCCTAAGAACCTTGTTCACCTCCTCTAAGCTATCTGAACAGGACCTATATTGGAACCATAGGGATGGGTCCATTTATGAACAGGGCCTATGATGGGACCATGGGGATGGGACAGGAAGTCATTTAATCTGTTTCAGATACCTCTGGGGCTCGTCTACACTGGCCCCTTTTCCGGAAGGGGCATGTTAATTTCACCTATCGTAGTAGGGAAATCCGCGGGGGATTTAAATATTCCCCCGCGGCATTTAAATAAAAATGTCTGCCGCTTTTTTCCGGCTTTTAAAAAAGCCGGAAAAGAGCGTCTACACTGGCCCCAATCCTCCGGAAAAAGCGCCCTTTTCCGGAGGCTCTTATTCCTACTTTGAAGTAGGAGCCTCCGGAAAAGGGTGCTTTTTCCGGAGGATCGGGGCCAGTGTAGACGCTCTTTTCCGGCTTTTTTAAAAGCCGGAAAAAAGCGGCAGACATTTTTATTTAAATGCCGCGGGGGAATATTTAAATCCCCCGCGGATTTCCCTACTACGATAGGTGAAATTAACATGCCCCTTCCGGAAAAGGGGCCAGTGTAGACGTAGCCCTTGAGTTTCAGGGATCAGCAGCAGGCTGTCATGTCTTTCTCTTTATTCATCCTGTGGTACAGCACTCTCTTCCACCTATTAATCCCTACTGACATGATAGGTAGATGGCTGTGGATTGCTGCCTGCTGGTATTGGCAGCTGTATCAAAGCCCTGGTGGTAATTGGATTGAGATTTATGCCCCACAGGGTTGGAAGCAGATTGGGAGTGATGTCATATGAGGAGTGTAGCAGAACTAGATAGTCAGCTGACTTGAACTAGTGTGGCAAATCCTGTGTTCTAAGTTATCTGTACAAATGGATCTTGTACAGTAAAGTTTTTATGAATCACAGCTCCCTGCTTTTGATGTGACCCTGGCTGAGACTGAAGTGTCTTTTTAGTTGAGAGAAACTGTTGCCTGTGGGGGAGGGGATGGAGGAGAAATAAAAGGACTAAATCTCCAGGTAGTTGCTGTGGACACTTCAAAGGTAGGAGGTGTGGTGAAATTAAGTGCAGCTTCAAACCTCGTCTTTCTGACTGAGAGTTTCTTTTCTTTTTCACTGAGATAAGGAAACAAGTTCAGCTTCACAGCAGGGGATCTGCAGCTGGGCTGGAATTTGGGGCTTCTTTTGGGCTTGTGCACTTAGATTCTTTGGCTTCTAAGCATTTCCAATGCACTTGTTTTCTATTGGCTATCAGAAACTAGTTGGAGCTGGGCACTGAGGTAGGAAATTACGAAACCCAACCGGGAACAAGGGAGACGATTATCGCCTGCCCCAGAGTTAGGGAGCAAGGCGTGTTGCTGCATTTACCAGGATGGGCAGGCTTGCTGTGCTGCTGCCCAGTGAATGGCATATTTTCAACGACATGCCTCCGCATGTCTTTAGCTGAGCATGTCAGCCAGGGGAACCCTAAATGGTACAACAAGTTCTGACTGGTGCATCTGTTGTACAGCTTAGTCATTCTTAGCTCTTTCTGTATTCCTGAACATTCATCTGGCAGTTAGATGAAAAAATAAGTTGCTTTGACTTTGGTCTGATCAGAGATGACTGGTGAGCATGGGAAATTATAGGAACCTATTTGATTTTATGATTACTTAACATAGTAGGTTTTCTTTCAAAAGGTCAATCCATAAATAAAATGTTTCCTTTTTCTGAGTGTAATAAAAGCAGGGAGTATAGGTAGATCCTACTAAACGATCTAAAAGATATATGGCAAATTCAGCGTGGTTAAATAAATCAATGATTTTATGTTGTCGTTAAGTACAGATTTTAAGAATAAAAACTTTTCTCCCTGCCTCCTTTTTACAGACGAGTCAGTGATGACAACTTGATACTTATTAATTGACAATCTGCTGCCAGAATTCACTGCTCAAGAATGTTCAGAAGATACAAACTGCTGTGAAAAAACAACCTCCCTCTCCTCTCCCCATCCCTCCCCCCCAAAAAAAAAATTTCAAGAGGACTTTTCATTTGGAGGCAATTCCTTATAAACATTTTGACCCAATTTAATTAGGTAGTTGCGTAGGGGGAAGGGAGCTGAGAGAGAAGCTGCTAATGGCTGGTGTCAGCAGGCTGACCATGATGGAAGGTCAAAAGCTACCTCTATTTGGACTAGAATAATGAAGAATTGATGACTGTTCTCACTCTGCATTCTACCTTCTCTGGCCTGAACCTGAGGAACACTATCTGTGGGAGCTGTGGTTGCTCAGCACCTTGTTTAGATCCAGCATGAAACTGACCATCTGGTTCTTAAATATTTATATGAAGGAACATATTTAAAAAGAATTCAGCACGCTTGTTTTTAAGTAGAATGTTGAATATTGCAGTTCTTGGAAAGGAGTGTTTCAGGTCATGTATTTAAAGCGGTGTATTGAAATGAGATTGTAATTCCTGTTTGGCACAAAATATGATTCATAAGTTGCTTGAAATAAATGTATGTATTATGCAGAGCTGCACAAAAATGCAAAATAATCAATGTCTTCATGTTGTGGGTTATATTGATTTTAAAACTGTTAAACCATTCATATCACTACAGTTACTTAACTGATCTTATAGAAAACAAAAGCAATTTGTAGTTGTCATTTCCTTTGTCTTCTGGTAATGGGTTTACTTCATTATACTTCAGATCATCAGTGTATGATAGGCATATAGTGTATTCAGTTGGGCATTTCATTACATTGCTTATTGGTAAATAAATCATATACGTTCTGTGAATGGAAGCTTCCATCACAGGTATCACACACGAGAGAACTTTTTAAGGAAAACCCACTTAATTTCTGCCTAGTTTATCTTTCAGGTTTGATATAGTGGTTCCATAATGAATTAATCTCTTTTTAAAGGTACTCTACTGAAGCACTGACCTACGGGTATTCTTTTCCAAACACATGTTGAGAGCAGCTTCCAAGAAAAGTTAGCTCATACTAGAGATGTAAAAATTAAAAAAACCCACTAACTGTGTAACTGAATTTCAATCGATTACACGGTTAAACACTCTGTAGGATGTTGGCCCCACGAGGTGCTGGTGGTGTCTGGGAGTTTAATGGATAAGGTTTCCCCTTAAGCTAATGCTAATTGGTTGGTTGGTTAACCAGTTAAACTCTTACACCCCTAGTTCATACAGGCCAAGATGTTCAAGTGATTGGTGATTTTGTGTTTATACAAGTGTTCAGCCTTAGACCTCTTAAGCCTGATGTTCCCAGGAAGGCTGCTCATCACTTTCTGCAGATCATGCTTCTTAAGGTATTTTCAAGTCTGGTGCCCCAAAATTGAGGTATTCAGAATCACTATTTGCTTCTTAAGATCTTGGCTACAACAGCTGTCCCCTGATAAGATGGATTACTGTATCTTGACTGACTTTGTGCAGGCATACACTGCCTAATGGTAAAAAGTGGTTAGTCACCAGTGCTGCTCATCACTTTCTGCAGATCATGCTTCTTAAGGTATTTTCAAGTCTGGTGCCCCAAAATTGAGGTATTCAGAATCACTATTTGCTTCTTAAGATCTTGGCTACAACAGCTGTCCCCTGATAAGATGGATTACTGTATCTTGACTGACTTTGTGCAGGCATACACTGCCTAATGGTAAAAAGTGGTTAGTCACCAGTTAGAAAAGACGTGTCTAGCTGAGAGAGACTCGCTGCTCTGTTGTTAGCGGGGAGCTCCTGCTATAGCTGAAGAAGTACTCCTTCCCCAAGAAGTGCTAAAATCAACATTCAGTGTGTGGAGCTTTTGGTCAGTATTAAAGTTCTCAAACACAATTCTTATCCATATTTTGTTTGACTATAACTCATGTCTTGGTGAGAGCCATTAAATATGGCCTAGCAAGTTAAGTGGAAACTTTGGCTATGATCTAGTTACATATAGTTGTCAGACCAAGGGTCAAACTCTGCTGAGAGTAAGTAATGAATACATTAATTCTGGGGCAGGGCAACTTAGGTACATTTTCCAACAGTAGCACCTTGATTAAAGGGTTGTCTGTCAGCCCAAGCCAATGAACTGGAGCAAAGGCTTGCAATTAAAAAAAATCCCTGAAAATATGTATTCCATTGTACAAAGATGGTGTTGCAGCAGGACGTGTTGCCAAAAAATCAAACCAAACCTGTTTTTTTTATTTCTTGAATACTGGTGACTTGCACAATACTTCACAAATCTACCACATGAGGTGGTACTGCGTGAATTCTGTGCTCAGTTATGTAGTATAACTGGATTAAACTCCCTTGATGTCAATGGAGTTGCACTGGATTTGCTCCTGCAAACTGCATTTAAGCTATTGTCCCTCCTGGAAATAGTTTACAGTCTAATTCTGGTGGAAAATGATTAAGAGCTGTTATAAGCTGAACCCAGGTCCTAACTGTCAGGTGCTCCTATGGCAAACCTGCTATTGGAGTGAGAAAAATGGCTTGATTTCTTAACTTCACTCCTCACTCTGCAAAGCACCTTAGGGAAATGGAGAATATAGAATGTGCTACATAAAGCTGTCTTGTGTTCCTCCCGAGCTGCAGGCTGCCGCTTTTCTCACACTCCCACACACACTTCTCAGGCTGTGGGAACTAACCCTGTTTCTATAGCATTCACAGATGGATGTTCCACTAAGCTACCTTGTCCATAAGTGCTATGGATGCTGAGCTGAGCATCCCAGGGCTCTTAGCTGTGGGGAGGAAGGCGGGAGAGAAAGAGAGAGGGGCAAGGTGGGTGTGAAAATGAGTGTAACCAAAATGCTGAATGCTTTGCTGGTCTACTTCCTATGGGCTTTTTTACCTGGTTCATCACCATGATGGCCTTGCACTAGTGCACTAAATAACATGACTAGCATCTGCCACATGGTGGCTTTCTCATCCTTTCCCAATGGGGAGCAGCATGTATGGTGGGGTGTTTTTGTTTTGGTAGGAGTTTGGGTTTTTTTTTAATACTTACATTGCTATTAAGTTGTTAGAGCAAGGTCAAATTATACATTTTGGGGTTTAAAGTAAGGATGTTGAGTATTGACTGACTAATCGAATAGTCAATGCATTTTGCATCGACTAGTCGATAGGTGCTTCTGCCTTATACTTCAAAGGCAAAAGCACCACGTGGAGCTTGGGGTCATCTGGGGACTTCCCTGCTCACCCTGGGCTCTGTGTGATGGTGCCACTTTGAAACACTGTGAGGAGCCTGATGCTGGGCGTTTCAAAGCAGCAGCACTGCGTGGAGCCTGGGGTCTGGCTCCAGGCTTCAAGTGGTGTTGCTGCTTTGAAGTACCCACTCTACTCCCCTTCTCTTCCCCCCCCCCCCCCCCGCTGCCTCTACCTGATGGAGGCAGCAAGGGGGAGGGTAGCAGAGAGTGACTAGCCTTTCAATTATCTGATAAGCATTTGCTTATTGGATAGCCAACTAGTCCTTCACATCCCTAGTTTAAAGACACAGTAAAAAAAAACAAAAAAAAACCCCACGATCCATTTGTTTGTGCTATTGACAGTTGTTGCTATACAAAGTGAGTGAAATTATCCTGGTACATGATATTTTGGCCTTCATGCCCCCTCTTATCACTCCTGCTATTTGCCTGCTTGTGCTTCTCAACTCTGTTTGTCACAGCAGCCTGTTCTGCTCCTGACTTGAGGCCTTTTTCCACTATGCTCCTGATCCCGGATGTTTGGCTGCCATCTGTGCACCTCCTGAAAACATAAATATAAGAAGTGGGGAACTGGCTCTGCTATGACACCTAGGCTGGGGACATACCTAGGCTGGCCTTGGACATTTCATGCTTTTACTTTTAAAGTGTCCTAAAAAGGAACAAAAATCTTGGCTTGTGCCTGACTGCTATACATCATAAGGCATCAAGAAGTAGCAAAAGACCAAGTTTCTAAAGACGAAAAATCCCCTTTTTTCTGCTTGCTTTTTATATTAGAAATTCAGATCTTTTTTTGGCAGACTCTGATAGCTAGAGCAGTCTTCAGCTACCCCTCAATGCAAAGATGATATCTGCTGAAGCAGTAGTGCAAAAATGACAGTGCAGGTTGGACTTCCAAAAACTGGGACTCCTGTCGGACCATGGATGTTCCTGGACCAGGAAGTCCTGGCTGGGAGCCCCAGTGGTAAGAGGGCTATCAGCCTCAGCACAGCGGGGGTCACAGCAGCCCCAGTAGCAGGCCCAGGGATGCTGCAGCCCTGGTAGCGGGACTGGGGATGCGGCAGCTATGGCAGCCCTAGTAGCAGGTCCAGGGCCAGGGATGTGCGGTCATGACAGCCCTGGGAGCAAGGCTGGGGATGCAACAGTCCAGGCTGCTGAGGCACCAGCAATAGCCTGTCAGTCCGATGGGGTGAGGAGGAGGTGGCTAGGGCTGGCAGAGGGGAGGGAAAGGGAGACATGTTGGGGGCCAGTGCCAGGTGACCTCCCCTAATCTGGCAAATTCCTTTGTTCAAGAACAATGAGATCCTGAGGGTGCTGGACCACAGAGTTCCAACTTGTATACGAGTCACGAGGGTGAAAACTGAAGTGTTGGGTAGGGGAAGGGATTATTAGTCATACTGTGGAAAACTTCATTTTAACACCTATTTATCGTCAATGATTAGCACTTAGAATATAGGAAGTGTAACACTTGCTGCCCTTTAATGACTTTATTCAGAACTATCAATAAACATCCTTTTTACTTTCCAGTAGACTGCCAGCAAAGACCAGACCATTCCTTAGTTTGTGAAGGTAAGAAAGCCACACAGGATCATAATTTTATTTCATTATGAGCCTTCTTTATATATTGTAAAGAACTGAAAACCATGAGACCATTACTTGAATCTTTAACAAGATAGGTAAGTGTGTGTGTTAGTAATACCACCACCTTTATTTACAGGCAGCAACCCTCATAAGGCCAGCCCCATCATTGGAAGGCTTTGCCTAGATAAGAATATAATGGATATTGATGTACTATGCCAGCAAAGGGCTTCCAGTGTAAACTTGGCCTAAGGATGTCAACAGAGGGTTATAGCAGAATAATTGTCAGTTCAAATTCAAATCATTAGATGATACTGAAAAATTTTCCTTTATGGACAAGATGTGATTTTCCAGCAATTGTGGGATAAATATTAAAGAAGTATTAACAGACTTCTGCTGTTTCCAATGGCCTTGGCTGGCAAGTAAGTACAATGACTGTTGTGAAGCAGGATGAAGTGATGGGGTTCTCTCTAGATTTCTGTAGATGAAGCAACAGGGTCGTGGTATCAGCGTTTAATCATTTCAGGGGTGGGAGGAAGGCAGAATGCAGGGCAGTGCGTAGCTAAGACTATCTAAATGACTGGTTTAGTAGGAGGCTGCATTTGATATGGTTTAGCATTATTGTTTCTTTAAGTGCACTTGAAATGAAATATAATGGATGAGGTCCTCATAATGCATAAGTAAAATGCTGATCCTGAAACAGCAAGAAAGTTACTCTCATCCATTACCTAGCTAGGTAACATTATCCCAAAGCTACTTAGGGTGTTACTCTGGGGGAAAGAAAGTTTAAAAAG